CAAATGTGTGAGCTTTGCCTTCAACTAGTATGAACTGAGAACCAGAGCATGAGGCTTTCGTCATAATCACTTMCCTTCATTTCTTTGAGCGAAAGAGAAGGAATTACGAACTTGCTTATCAATGGTTGATAGGACACACGTTAGAAGGATAGTGAATGAGCTGATTTAAGGGAATAAGATTCTCTCCGTGTCTCTGACCATTCCTTTCCCTCCAAAAACAATATGTTATTTTGCTTGAAACACGTGTCGAACTAGGAATAGAGGGATTCGAGAGATACTTGTTTTCGAGATTAGTAGATAATACCATGCCAAACCGTTGTGTATTTTGACTTAGCGAGACCCTTAGCTAAAGGTCGCCAAATATATGCCGTGACTAGCCATGAGAAGAATCAATTATCTAGAAATTTTAACTTCTTTTGTGATTTATTATAATGTTCAAAACCGTTAAAGAATAAAATTTATTATAATTTTTGATTAATTTGGAAAAGTCCAATTATTTAATATAATCTACCGAAAAAATAGATGACGAAATCATCACATGCCATAGATAAGAAATCATTTATATTTTATTTTAGTTACATAAAATGCATATTTGGATACATATTGTGATATCACGGCGACAATAGTACAAACTATTAGACTAAAATAAAATTATGTTTAACACATATATAATATTACATACATGTGAGCCATAGGAAGACACAAATATAATATTATATACATGTGAGCCAAAGAGACAAGAAAAGCTTCATCTTGCGGCTCATAACTTCTTTCTCACAAATATAATTTTAAATACTGTGAAATTTATTTCATACATTTACGGCTAGTTTTTGTAGTAAGCATGCTTCAAACATCATTAGTTGTCACAATAGTTTCCACATCAGTACCAGGTTCTGGAGCTGTTGCATTCCCTTCCAGGTATTCTAGTATTTCTCTCATACTAGGTGATAAGAAGGGTTTTTCATTCTTTCTTTCAAATAAAAACCTATCAAGCTAACAACCTACTCATAATTCAATTGTAGCAAGCATAGGGTTCGAACACAAGGAGGAAATGATTTAACACATTAAGCTATTGGGATCTTTACTTAAGCTAAGGGAATAAAGATTTGGTTTTTAAGAATTAAGAAATGCTAACAAATGCATGAAAGACAAATGCAAGAAGTAAAACAAGATAAAAGGCGTTGGACCATGGATTTAACTTTCAATAAGAAGAGGATAACAATCAAACAATGCATCAAGAGGTTGAGTTATGCATCAGTTGGAGATGCATGGTAAAGCCCATGACTTTGTCTAGACGTGGTTGATGCACACCCTAGTTCATTTCTCAAGCATGGAACACTAATTCTAATAATCCCACTTTCGTGACACTACTAATTACTTTGTTGAGTACAAACATCTAACTAACTTTCGCTGTTAGATATAAGGACTCTCAAGTATTACGATCAAGTTCCAATAAACTCTCTTAGCCTCTCTAACAACACTTTCATGGCCGAGATCACT